CATCCCTTCCGTATCTCCCAGGGTTCCTTCATCCCTTCCGTATCTCCAAGGCCAGGTTTAATTTCCATCACACTTTCTCAAGAATGAAAGTGAACATTATATGTAGCCCAAGGTACACACTCTGCTAGAGAGAAGTTCCCTGAGGATGGGCTCCAAAGCTCAGAAGATGAATTCTCTGGTGATCGACCGAGATTGGATCCTGCAGCACACTCTGAGACTCAAATGTTGGTCAACCTTTTAAAAAGTCCATCCAAGCTTTGTTACTAAAATAAAGTCAACATTAAAGCAGACTGACATTGTCACAATGCAAGCGGGGAGGTGTTACTTTTTGGAATGGAGGTATACTCGGTAACCAAGGTGGCAACGGACATAGAAATACACTGGAGGCCTTTTTTAATATGTTTGTATGTGTCTGTGTGTATATGTATGCCATATAAAGAAGGTATTTACAGAAGGTATTTACAACAGTGTGATTAACCATAGTGCTGGTGTTGGGTTACTGTACATGTCCCTACCAGCAACTTTCCCCTTGCTCTGTCATCCTTATCATCCAGATGTATCACCCCAACCTCACATAAAGGATTATCGAAGGATTAGTAGGACAGTTAAATTTCGGGAGACTAATAGTGAAATAATACAGTCAAACAAATCAACAATCTGTCCAGGTCAGAGTGATCCAAAGAAGATCAAATAGGAGCCAAGATTCAAAAGGGATATAAGCCCACGCAGACAACGTCCATGTCTGGTTTCAATTGGTCACATCTTCCACTGCTTTCAGATGAATCAATGCCTAACTCAAGGATGTCCAACCTTATGGCTTCCTGGGCCACATTAAGTGAAGACGAATTGTCTTGGTTGCATATAAAATATATAATTGTCAGTCCAAGCTCAACTCAAACCTTTAAGTAAGAATGACCCTTGACTCCATTTAATGAAAAAGCTATAGTTTACTAAAGGTCAAGTGGAATACGGTAAAGCAAAGCCAGAATTGAAATTTGCATGCAACACGCACACACCCCTGGCACTTCCCCCTGCTAGTTTCCTATTGTCCAATCATATTTGAATGTGGGGTTTGGGGAATGGTCTCTCACTCTCCAACTGTGGGCTGGTTGGCATGCAAGTACACACCATCATTAGCCATCTGACCTTGAAGTTGTGTCTCCAAAAGGTATGGTAAATATTGAACCTTTTCCTTCCCATCTACTCTCTCCCCCCAGAGTTCATGGTAGACTGACATTGAGCAATAGCAAGCACAGGTGTGAGATGGCAGTTCTGACAGTAATATAATCAATATATATAGAATAGAATAGGAATAGGAATAGAAAATAGAATAGAATAGAGCAGAATAGAATATAGAATAGAATAGGAATATAGAATAGAATAGGAATATAGGATAGGATAGGATAGGATAGAATAGAATAGAATAGAATAGAATAGAATAGAATAGAGCAGAATAGAATATAGAATAGGAATATAGAATAGAATAGGAATATAGGATAGGATAGAATAGAATAGAATAGAATAGAATAGAATAGAATAGAATAGAATAGAATAGAATAGAATAATGGAATAGAATGGAAATGGAGAATAGAATAGAATAGAATAGGAATATAGAATAGGATAGGATAGGATAGGATAGGATAGGATAGGATAGGATAGGAT